CCCCAAAACCCCAAAACCCCATGAAGTAAAGTTTTTAAATTGTAAGCTAGCATTTATTATTTTTAAAATAAAGCACTTTTTGTGATATAAATTTTCAAATTTGAATTTGAATATGGAAAACTAAAAGAATCATTTCGTTAATTTGGGAAAGGCCTTTCACTGCTCAGTGGGAATTCTATTCCTTTGCACAGCCATGAACCCTACGAAATATTTATATACATAGATTATGTCAAAAAGCAACAATGAATTACTAGGTTTTATTTAATATGCTTTAAACTACTTTTGCGCTGCTATTGGGTGTTTAGCATCATCATATATATTGGATAAATTCGGTGTGAAATGGTGCCTTACAATTTCTGCAATTATAGATACACTATGGATTCTAGCAATTATACCATCAGCATTAATTTCTGAAAATCCATCTATTCGTGACAGCTTTATTGCAAGTGATTTTTTTATATACACGTCATAGACATTAATTCAAATAATGCAGGGCTTATTTTTAGGAATTAAATGGGTAGCGGGAAATAAATATATTTCATAATGTGCAACAGAGGAAACCAAAGGCTTTTACTTTAGTTTTTTCTTGGGAATGTACATGCTATCAATAATTTTAGGCAGTTTAATATCGGCATTTATTTCAAAAAGTCTTCATTAATCAACATATCTCTTTATCATGACTATTCTTGCTTCATTATCCATTGTTCTTTTTTATACACTAGTACAGCCCATTCCTTAAGAAAGATTTATACCGGATGATGATGATTAAACTAAAGACAATGAAATATTGATAGAACAAAACAGCGAAAATTCAAAAATCCTCAAAAATACATAAAATTACTCAGCAATTCTTGAAGATCCTGATTTATCAAACGATTATTCTCAAAGCAACAATTCAAACTTTGTTTAAAATACAAATCTAAGTGAAACTAAAATATATCTTAATCAAGAGGTTAAGGAAGTTTTGCTTCTCATAAAATCTAGAAAGATGCTACCATTGATACCATTACTTCTATGGGTAGGTATCAGCGAAGCAATTTATTTTGAGATACTGTTAAATATTATTATTGATACCTAATCTATTGGAGATTATTAGTATAAAATTTCAAATTCAATGCTGACAATGGTAACTTTTGGGACTGGAGAGTTGATTGGTAGTCTTTTTACAGGGTGGATGATAGATAAATATGGGAATAAAAAGACAGTTACAATTAATATTGTGTTGGTATCAATTCAAACTATTTTAAAGCTGATTTATCTGATTAATTATAAATTTTCCTGGTTTGCTTATTTCTTGACTTTTGTTTGGGGCTTGCAGGATGGTTTAATTAATACCTTATCAATTGAAATGCTTGGATTTGAATTCAAAAATAATTCCTAATCTTATGCTGTATCTAATCTTGGCTTATGCTTAAGTGCTTCTTTATTTAGTTTTATCTAGGGATTTGTCAAAGGAAAAGAATAGTATATTATTTATACTACAATTGTAGGATTTATAGGAATATTGTCCAATATTTCTGCATTATTTTTCAAATTCAAGCCTATGCCTGACTAGTTAAAGTAATCTATGAAGTAAGATCTGAACAAATGATTCAAAATATTAATTAAAGTTGAGATTATTATTTAATTTTCAGAATTTATTTAAAGAATGTGCTTTAATTATCAAATTATTATGATCTCTGGGGTTTTGGGGTTTTGGGG